AAAGAGAGAGATAGATAGATAGATAGATAGATAGATAGATAGATAGCTATGTGGCCCGGTGATCGACTGATTAGCGTGTGGGCCTCACAGTGCAAAGGGGCAGGGTTCGATTCCGGCTGCGGCCCTCCTGTGTGAGCAAGTACTCTCCGTCTGCGTGGATTTTCTCCGGGCACTCCAGTTTCCTCCCACATTCCAAAAACATGTATGGCAGGTTAATGGAACACTCTAAATTGTCCTTAGCTGTGAGTGTGAGCGCGGATGTTTGTTCGTCTGTGTGTGTACCCTTCAATTGGCTGGCAACCGGTGCAGGGTGTTTACTGCCCGAAGACAGCTGGGATAGGCTCCAGCACCCCCTGTGACCTTTGTGAGGATAAAGTGGATCTGAAAATGGATGGACATATGGATATATAGTTTTTTTTTTTTTTTTATTGTGGCATCATATTTAGTATCTTTCCTACTTTCCTGAAAACAGCCCTATTTTATGTTTGCTGTCCTCTCTCTAGAGCTGCATGAGTCACTCCAAGAGTTACTGCAGATGAAATATTGATGAAATATTTATTGCCGACAAGTGCTGTCCACATACTTGTTCCACTTTCTAAAAAGACGGTTTAGAAAAGTTTTTGTCAGATCAAAGAAGATTCCCAAGTGCATCATGCGCATCTTTTCGGTCTCAAGGAAAGGGAATTTGCTGAGAACGGTTAAAAGCGCCTAATGCAATGCTGACAGGTTGTTCAGGATGTATCTATGTATGTGTGTGTGTGCGTGTGTTCCAGTCCCACCATTGTCATACTGCTGCACACTAAGCATGTCATATGTCACAACCACTTTCCTCTGGCAACAGCTCTCATCCAGTGGTGGATGCCATGGTATAAAGGAAACACATCCTCACTGACCCACACATTGATCAAAATAAAAAAATAATTTCAACTAATCTCTTCTAGAAGTAGAGTACATATTACATAAATAATCTATTATGTACTGATTTACTATTATAATGTCATAATAGAGGTAAAGGAGGTCTCATCATGCAGTTCGAGAGAGAGACAGACAGAGAGAGAGAGAGAGAGAGAGAGAGAGAGAGAGAGAGAGAGAGAGAGAGAGAGAGAGAGAGAGACGAGTGTATTCGTACCCATCACGTCCACAGTGCCATGAAAGCATGATTATGGTAGGAATGACCCTGGAACTAACACACCTTTTCCCAATGCATACACACGATCTCACTGCATTTTATTTTGTAGCTCCACTAATTTAAACAGTATGACAGGCAATAATGGCGGTTGTGCAGCAAAATCAGATGTTTTTGCTCCTCAGCTCAATTTTGAAATATCTCATTACAGTGAATGTGAAGACATTTGCCTGCACGATGTGAAAACACTAAAAGGACAACTTTATATTTTCTTTCAAAGTACCAGAGACTTCTGTTTGATAAAAACGTTTTGTTTTTTTTTTTACTCTAGACATAAACAAAAATATCCAAATTGTAACCCTCATTGCAAATGTCAGAGGCTTCAGCGTTTACCCTCCCCGACCCGAAAGTTATTTTCCATGAAGTGTTGGAAATAATAATAATCTCTTGTAACCATTTCAACCCAACGTGCTCAAAACTTGTTTGATGGAAGACTAAAACACATGGGCACATACTGTACAGGCATTCAATGCACCGCTTACCCTCCACTGGGGCCGCAGGTGTGCTGGAGCCTATGCCAGCTGACTTTGTGCGAGATGCTGGGTACACCCTGAACTAGTTGCCAAGCAATCACAGGGCACAAACAGCCAACATCTCACACTGACATGAAAATTTCGAGTCCTCAATCAACCTACCGTGCGTGTTTTGAAATGTGGACGGAAAGAGGAATAACTGGGAAAATAAATCCACACAGGTACGGGAAGAACATGCAAACTCAACACAGGCAGGCCAGAGCTCGGATTTGAACACACGGCCACCACCTGGACCACATTTATCAAATCTAATTTATTATTTACTATTATGGATTATCTGAAGCCTAACGGTGTGTGTGTGTGTGTGTGTGTGTGTGTGTGTGTGTGTGTGTGTGTGTGTGTGTGTGTGTTTGAGTGTGCATATTTAGAACCTCGATTAAATGGGCGAATGGAGGGGTCATTAAAGCTGATTGTTAAACAGAAACTGATATTTTTGTGGCTTCAAATGGCCTAGTACAGTGTGAAATTATTTGAAATAAGCCTGAAACTGTTGTAGATTTTTACAATGTAATCCAAACAGGCTGGCATTTGATTGGGGGCATAATGGAGTTCAGCTGGTCACTTTCAACAGCTGCGAGGTTACCGTGCTTAATTGTTTCACCTTTGTTATGATTGATGCCTTATAGAAGGGCTAGACAAAAAAAAAGCAATGCTAAACTGTACAGTTAAGGGCTTAGCTTGACTTTTAGCTCTTAATAGAAGCACAGTGGCACAAGTCAAATATTTAGGGGTGCACAATTTAAATCAACTTGCCAAGAAAATATTCACATTTCCACTCACTTTAACATTACTGATAAATGGGATGAAATGTGGAGCGGAAGTTTGTGAGCAAGAACTTCATGAAATTTAAAAAAGAAAACAAAAATCTGTGAATTAAATGGTCACACATAAAATTTTGGCATGACCTGTCAAATTTGAGCCTTGCAGTCCAGCATAGACGAATAAATATCTGCCACAGAACAGGTATACAGGATCCAGTCCTTTTGAAGTGCAAGCTTATGACGAAACTAAGCTAATGTCCATGCTTTCCATTACCCTTGATGGAAGCCCCCCACCCCACCCCAACATGGCCACCGCCTATGTCCATGCGTTACCTTTGAGGGGAATGTGGTCACTCTCAACTTGACCGCCACGTCCGCGGGATCTAGCATGATCTAGGATTACGTACTTGTGACAATAGCGGCGCAACCCAGAGATACAGGTACAAGTGTCTCTCTGTTGATTGCGGCACACACACACACACACACATATATATATATATATATATGGGGGATGTTGAACTATCAGGTGAACACTCTTTCCTCAAGTTGAATTGAAAGTGTTTCAATTTGACCTTGGGAATGTACAGCGTGTATTTGATATGCCACCATGCACGGATTCCATCATGGGGAAAGAGCTTAATGTTGCTCCCGCTGGTGCTTTTTCAGCCCAATGTTAGTGTTAAAGGATGTTGTGAGCCAGTTATGTGGGATCCATTAGGCCCCTGGTTTGTCAGGGAGCACAGATGAGTGCAGCGCTAGCTGCCAGGACTGTGGATTGTTATATAAGTGGACAGAGGCACTGGGACGTTATCCATTTGCTTTTGTAGAACTGTTGAAAGCTTAAGTTTGTCATTGTCAATAATATAGGCGTGTGCGCTGTTACCAAATGACAGCACTGTATTGACAACGTGGCATTTGGGGAACAAATGAAAAAAAAAACAAAAAAAAACAATTACACCCAGAGTCATTTGAATGTTTCTAAATGCTCTGCCAGCTTGCTGTTTGACAGGCAGAAATTAGATCAATTGCTTCAAAAAAACTCCAAAAAAACAACAAAAGCTCTGCACTCTCATTTGGACATCAATGTCTACAAATTGATGTCAGTTAGGATGGGTTGATTATGAGATGCGTCACACTATTTATCCATACAAGATTTTATGCAAGCTCTTGATAATAATGAAGTGGTCAAGTGAAAGTCTTTCTTTTAAATGGAGTTGCCTTGGAAGTGTGATTCACTCTGAACTTTCATTTCCTCCCCATTCCGATGCCTGCGTACTGTACGTAAGAGGAGCCATTAATGGGCAATGATGTTATTGTGTGCTGAAGCACTTCCCAATCAGTTTGGTTGCATCTTTCTTTAAACTGGTAGGCCAAATTATTCTGTCAATTTCTGAGTGCATTTTGGCGCTGCTATCATGTAGTTCATTAGTGAAGATTAGTGAGCCATTAGTGAGCTTTCTCCGGAACATTAAAACACGTGAGAATGTATGTTGGCGACCAGCAGCAGATCCTTTCTTTCTTGAAGCTTGAGCCCCTCCACCGCTTTGGTCAGGATTAGTCTTTGTCTCATCAGTCCGTAAAATTTTGTCAGCCTTATCTCTTCTATTCTTTGGAAAACTCCAACCAGGCCTTTCTATTATTGTTGCAAATAATGGTTTGCATGTTCTACTGTAGCATCTGTATTTGTGTTCATGTTAATGACTCCTCTACTCTGGAGGTTGTCACTTATCACTTATCACCTACAGTTGTTTTGGGGCTTTCCTTACCGCTCTCACTACGTTCTCAACAGCTGTTGTTTTGCTTGATAGACTCCTTTGCTGTTTCTTACTGAGTAAAGAATGCAATGCACCCGTCTACCATACTTCACCATCCTGTGGATCAAGGACTTTGCTGAACGACCACCAAGAGAGAATCAATCATTCAAAGTAGGACCCCACCATTCCTGAGCACTCAGCTTAACACCGATCCACTCGGATATTTGCTGAGTCCGTACTTTACCCTCTTTATATACATGAGACCTCCACCCTCACCCCAAAATAAACAAACACCGAATTCCGTATCAGACTCACATTCATCAATCGGTGCATTTTGTGTATTTTGATTAATGCAGAATCCCATTTGTTTTATGCACGGGTGTGTTTATGAGTAAATAAGTAATGACTCTTGTTTTTCATACTTTGAAGGTGTAATGTTATTGAAGAATGTCCACTCAGAGAGTTGTGCTTAACAGAGGTTCTTTACTAGTTGCTCGGGAACAGTGCAGGCCTGTATAATAGTAACGCAGACACGTTCTCTTCACGTGCACAAGGTCGGTTGCTATGGTAACCCGATAGCAGCACTTTACAGCATGTCGAACTGCTGTCGTAAAGTTCATTGCATATAATTCTTATATGACAGAAGGTACTATGCACATTCTTTTTTCCCCCAATTTCATTTCAGGTATTGCACTGTTATCACTACGTGTTGGAGGCGCTGGGTATATTATCGCAGGTCAACAGCAAGCCAAATTCAATCTTCATGAGCCAGGAAACTGAGCGTCTTGCTCCTTTATCACGGTCGTCTCGACAGTGTACAGTGAACAACAGTGATGACAACTGGATTAAAATGTTGAGTGAAATTAGAAGAAACAGATTTAAAACATTCATTCGCTTCTTGTGAACAAATAAATATAACACAAATTGTCCGGTGCCAAACAACAGACATAGTGCAGCTCAAAGTGTGACATTGATAAACAAAGCATTTCACATGCTAATTAGTTTGTTAGCACCAACTTAGCGGCACCGCTACGTTCGTACACAGTGCTCCGAGCTAGCAAGTTTCAGGAACAACACTTGATGAAAACGGTCTCCGAAATAAATTACTAAATACCTCTAAACACAAGCAAACGCACAGCCATTGCTTTCGAAAGTGTACAGAAAAAGAACGTAACACAGCAGGACTAGTTAGAATGACCAGTCAGGCTTTCTGCAGCAACTCGTCTGACGAAACACGACGTCTGCTACGCACAATGCATCGCGATTACTAATTACGTTTTCAGAATAAAATAACAGTAAACAATCGCTGCCTCGAAGGAGATTATTTTAAACACAATTACCTTTTTGCATGGAATAACATGAACTATGACGTCTCAAATCAGGAAACGTTATGAACCCTTTTTTTTTCTTTTAACCTTTATGAAACGCCTTTAAATTTTTACTGCGGGCAGAACAGGTGTTGGACAGGCGCAAGGCAATCAGCATTTGGCAGCTTAGGCCAAGTGTCAAACTCAAGGCCCTGGGGGCAGATCTGGCCCGCCTGAACATTTTATGCGGCCGACGAAAATAAATCATGTGTGTCAACTTGCTAAAATCTGTACCGAAATGTCAAATTGTCATGTGTAATAAATAACAGTGAGATGTTGCAATACTTTTGTTACCCTGTTTAAACTCACTTCAACAATAATTGAACTATGAGAATTGACTTGAATGATTTCAAAACTAGTCATCTATTATTTGTTGTGCACAAGTAATAATTTTGTGGTTTCACTGTCATAACGGCCCTCCGAGGGAAGACGTAGCTCCAAATTGGCCCACCACTAAAATAAATTTGACACCCCTGGCTGAGGCTTTATCTTTTTTTTTTGTTTGTTTGTTTGTTTGTTTGTTTTGTCATTTTTTTTTGTTTGTTTGTTTGTTTGTTTGTTTTTTTGTTTCCAGCATATCATTCCCTTGCCCATGGCTGGCTAATTGGCATTGGAGCAGGGTTGCAAAACTGCCGCCTGGCAAGACGTTTTTCTGTCCCCCGCAGCAGTCTGCGCCAGTTTGAGAAGTTTTATGGCTGTCACACTGCTCCAACATAGACTCCAATATATATGTCGCATGGTCAAAAATTCCGGATTCCAATTGAAGCTATGTTTTGACTAAGCCAAGCATTCATTTGCAGAGAAATCCATTTGTGAAACCTGCTTTCATTAACCCTTTCAGGTTAACCCTTTCAGGGACAGCGGTTACTACAGTGGACAGTTTACCAACATGGTAAAGTTACAGGTTGCATGGAAGGGTTGAAACACAAAAGGATTTTCTTAAATCGAAATTTAGTGGTGCGAACTAGTCAATGCAGCAGTAAGCAACAATGGAGTGTCTTTCACTGTCCTGTGACAGAATTAAAAGCATGAGGTATTGGAACGTATAACAGTTTTGGTCAAACTTGTTGGACAAATACGGGCTGTGTAATCCCAATTCGCCACTTCTCCAATGATGAGGTAAATATTTCAAATTGACCCTTTGGAGAACACGCATTCAAAGCTGTGAAGCACAAATGTCTATGCAAATAATATGCTAATAATCCCACATTGCTTGTCAAGTAAACTTTGATTTAGCCCGCATCGGGAAATAAAAGCATCTGAGTGACATGGCAAAACAGCTCTATTTAATCAGGACATAATATCAAATCTGAGTGGTTTGGTAAATTCCCCGGGCTTCCACAGGACAAGGACGACATGACGCGTTTCTGTAAGGTCTGTGAAAAGAAAAAGATTATTAAATGCTTTCTTGAGTGGGAACTCATCAAGGGTCGCACAGGAAAGATGTCCAAATCCCCAAAATACTGAAGACCACCAGGACTCTTATTCTCTACCCGGTTTCATTTGATTTGTTTGATGAGCTGTACATAACAGAATTCCACCGAGAACACAGATTGGTGTCTTTGGGGCAGTAGTATGGCATATAGTATATAATGTTTTGTATGTAATGTGAGGAAATAGAAAGGTTTATAACTATTTGTATACAGAAATTGTACAATCGCAAAGTACAACACGTCTGTATTCATAGTAACAGTTTGTGAGTCAAAATTTGCATTTTGACCTTCCTCAAAACTAATACAGTAATTGAACCACCGAGAATCCCACCCAAATGCTTCTCTGCATCGCTCACGTCACCTACCGCAGGTAGGATGTCAAGGCAAACTCGGTCTATTACTTACGCTGCACCAGCTAACGAACAATGAGCTTTGGCTGGCTACTAGTCCAGCTAAATACATTGCTGAGTCGCTGCAAAAGAAAATTTGGCCGTCTTGCAACAATTGACCGATCCGTAGTGACGGGCTGCACCTCACGGCAACTCTGCAACACATGCCGCACACATGACACAGATCGCCATGTGTAGAACGCCGCGTGCATCATCTTTCGTGACTGGTTCATTTAGTCATAACTTGTATATGCCTCTCCTGAAGGATTATGGGGGCCGTATATGTGTTTTGGTGTGTGTTACAAAATGTATTTAGAAACATAATCCAAGTACCATACTATTTAAAGAATGTAACTTGAATAATTTTAATTACTTTTGGATTATTCCTATATCAAATAGGTTATTAAAATCCGAACCAAAAAAATATATATATATACGTGATGTATATTTTTACAGATTGGTCTAGTCCAGTGGTTCTTAACCTTTTAAGATGTATTGAACCGTACCAGTTAATATGCACATTTACCGAACCCTTCATGGGTGAAAAATAAATATATATATCTATATATATATATATATATATATATATATAATTCAAGATATAAAAAATAAATATATATATATAATTCAAGACATAAAAAACCATTTATTAAAAACAGAAAAAAGTCATTAAAATTTCAGGAGATAAGTGTACTTTGTTTTTATGTCATGTGATCATCTGCAGCCAGTGATGGCCAAGCGGGCGTGTCATAACTAATTAACATGTTGAGTTGCATGTGTCTCACCCTGCATGGCAGAGGCTCCTTCGAACCCCTGAAACCGACTCACCGAACCCCTGGGGTTCCATTGAACTCAGGTTAAGAAACACTGGTCGAGTCTTTTCTGTCCTATCGTTGTCCTTCCACCCATTGATTTTCGGAGCCACCGATCCTCACAAGGGTCTCGGGTGTGCCGGAGCCTATCCCATCTGTTTTCGGGCAGTAGGCGGGGGACACTCTGAACCGGTTGCCAGCCAATCGCAGGGGACACAGAGACAAACAACTATCCACGCTCACATTCACACCTAGGGACAATTTAGTGTGTTGCATTAACCTGCCATGCATGTTTTTTGAATGTGTGAGGAAACCGGAGTACCCGGAGAAAACCCACACAGGCACAGGGAGAACATGCAAATGCCACACAGGGAGGCCAGAGCAGGAATCGAACCCTGCACCTCTGCACTGTGAGGTCGATGTGCTAACCAGTTGTGCACCATGCCACAGAGATAGATAGATAGATAGATAGATAGATAGATAGATAGATAGATAGATAGATAGATAGATAGATAGATAGATGACACATCCCACGTTGTTATGGTGGTGTGAAAAAGGTGAGGCAGAAAACTACATTCACACGAATGCTGGCATTTTATTACAGCTGCAACATTTTGGGCCTGTTTATACTGCGCCTATTCAGTGTACTCACACAAAAAAAGGGGGAAAAAATGGAGACTAAACATAACCTAGGGTCACAGAGTGAGTAGTGGCCTATAGCTTTTGTGAGGTAGTTGTGAAGGTGGCATTGACCAAGCAGGAATCATCAGTCTGTCAATCATCCTTCCATCATGATTTCAGGCCGGCCCAGTTTATTCGGCAGCGGCGGTGACAGCCAGTTGTCGTCGAGACCGTATTTACCATGTCACAAGCAGGCACAGCACAGGCAAACGTAAGTTAAAAAATAAACAACAAAACAAAATGTGTTACCTGTCGGTCCCACAGACTACAATTACATTGTCCTTTGTTTTAATATCACAAATCACCGTGCTGCATGTGTCAGTGTGTTTGTTGTTTTGCTGTTTTTTTTTTTTTTTTTTTGCGTGTGTGCGTGTGACATAGTAAGTACATTCTCAACGCTAATTGTCTGTCACCGGCGACGAAATACAAGGCCGGCCTGAAATAATGATGGGAGGATGATTAACGGACTGATGTGCCCACCTCTGCCTTGATCCAATATGTCCATCTATTAGTAAGTGTGCTCATTAAGCGAGACGCCAAAAGAGGCACGGCACATTGTTTATGTAAGAGACCTACTTTACGCCAGTGTTACATCAACACTCATTTTCATTGGTATTTTCTGGCCACGTCATTCGTCAAAGGAGAAGAATCTGTGCGTGGTGGTTGCGCCTTCTCGGCAGCACGTGTGTATAGCACTGATTTTGATTGGGAGGAATGGTGGCGCTATTTGACTGTCAGTGCTGGACAGCCCCGGGGCGCTCATGTTTTTTGCGCCTGTAATGGGCAGCATTTTTCACAGCCCTGTTGTGTTCAGCGGAGATGGTTGTGCTTTTGGACAGTCTGCGTTGGTGCGGCTGGATGGATGGCTCGTGGAGCTGAGGATAAGGAGAGAGGAGCACGGATGCGTATTTGGAACTGAGAGTCGCCG